GATCTAGGGTTTTGGGTTTAGGGCTTAGCTTTTCGACGTTTTAGCAACGCTAAACCCTAAACCGGAACTTAGGCTTCAGGGAAAAAGGCCCCAAGGTCCAAGAAGACGAGAGCTGAATCAACAAAAGGTGCCAACAGATGTGATTTCAATCGGGAGTTTCGGCCAGGGGCTATAAACTCCTAAACCCTATAAACCCTAAACCCCTAATTAAACCCTTAAACCTCTAAACCCCAAACCCCTAAAACCCCAAACCCCTAAAGCCCTAAACCTAAACAGTTTTCCGACATGCTTCCAGGGAACCTTTTGCTCCAGCAGTCGTTCCCTCGACTCACCCGAAACTCCACGTCCCAAACACCACTCTGAAAAGCAGCTGGGTTTAGGGTTCGGGTTTACGGTTTAGGGCTTGGGTTTAGGGTTGAGGGTTGAGGGTTTGGGGTTTAGGGTTTAGGGTTACGGTTTGGGGTTTAGGGTTGAAATCCCAACCAGAAGAACGCCAAGGGTGTAGTGCAGAAGCCCAAAGGATTGCCAATATTGTTCTTGAGGGTTCCTTATTATAGTTATGCTAGAATGGAGCCCAAGAGCCTAGACTAATCATTAAGGTCTCTATAGTGGTATACGCCCCGCGGCAGACCGGGTAAAGACCCTGAAGACCAAACAACAGGAAAAGCCGGCGGGAGAATCATAACTTATAACTCGAATAACAGATTTGTCACATCTCATAGTAACTTATCTTATCTAACAAACGAAATTTCTCATAGTAACTTGTCACACCCTAAACCCCAAACCCTACACCCTAAATCGTGGCCCTAAACCGCTACTCCGAAGCATTTCCTGCGGTCCATGTTGCTGTTGAACTGGAGGTTTCCGGGGCCATGTTCCTGGGGGAGATCATTGGGTTTAGGGTTCAGGGTTTGGGGGTGTAGGAGGTTATTGGTTTAGGGGTTTGCGGGTGTAGGGGTTTTGGGGTTCAGGGTTTAGGAGCTTCGGGTTTAGGGTTAAGGGTTGACGAGTTTAGGTTTTGAGGGTTTAGGGCTTAGGGTTTATAAGGTCCCGGGTTTCGGGGCTTCAGGGCTTAGGGGTTTAGGGTTTAGGGGGTAACGGGTTTAGGGGACAAGGAGCTGTGAGGTTCAGGGTTTAGGAGCGTTAACTTAGGGTTTAAGGTTTAGACTTGAGGGAACAGTGATGATTGCTATGGTTATGACGATAGCTGCTTCCTTCCTGGTAGTTCATACCAATCCTGAAGGCAAGTGTGATCAGGATTCGACAGGGTTCCTAAGTACCTGTATAGGCTCCTTTAAGGGTGCCTTGAAGGGTTTGGCGCGTTACGGGCCTTTTAACGGTTCCCAAGTACCTTTATAGTAGAATGTAGGGTTTCTTTTCTTCGGAATCCTTCTTGTACTCTGGAGAAGTACCCCCCCCATGACAGTACCTAGGACCCTCTGACAAACAACCTTACAGTGAAGTCCCGCAAGGCATAACCGCGATGCCTTAGAAATCTGCTAAACAACATCAAATCTACAAAATCCTATTGGATCCTACACACAAACGCCCAATCACCCTAAACCTTGAATCCTAAATATCAAAAGCCTGGACCCGACTATAAATACGAAGACATGAATCATCCGAACTCTTCGGTCATACATAAAAGACCGAACTTGCATGGAGGAATCCTGGGTCTTCAGAGCATACGGTTGATGATATAAATACTGCACTACCTTAAGGACCCTAAACTATGGGAGTTAGGGTCTAGGGTTTGGGGTTTAGGGTCCATTACTTGGGTTTAGGGTTTAGGATACCTTAAGGACCCTGAACTATGGGAATTATGGTCTATTCCTTATTATGGGTCATGCAGGATTTATATCATCAACCGTATGGATAGGAACCATAGCAAAGGGTTTAGGCTTTAGGGTTTAACACGGGGGCCTGAATGTCTTCAAGACTAGAGTTAGGGGTTAGGGTTTCGGGTATACAAGAGCCTTAATCAGTAGCATTGGGTATATCTGAAGATGCTGCTATATTACATATTCTAATGTATATATTTATATAGATATTATAATATATAATATATTATATATTATATACTATATACTATATTAAAAATTAAAAAAAATATACATACATATAAAATATATATATATATTATATATATATACATACATATCAGAGCATTATTATTAACATATCCGATGCCTATCTTACCGCAAACCCGCAGACTCAATTAGAAGCAGCGCCTGCTGATGAGGTCCGATGCCGACTCCACCAAGGACAGCGCCACCTCAGCTACTGTGCTTACCCTTACCGAAACCGCCAAAAGTAGGTAAAATAATGGCCCAAAACCCATTAAGGGCTATTCTTCTACACACTTTTGAAGTCCAGGTAGCATCAAAACAGCCCCAAGGTCGTTTTAAAAAATAAGGTCTTTCGGCCGAAAAGCCAAAACAACAATATGAGTCTTTTGAGGGTGAGTGTTAGCGTTTGGGCCGTTTGGCTTCTAGGGTGTGCAGCTTAGGCTTTGAACCTATGCCGGAGTAAACCCTATAGAGCTTCAGAGCTGCATGTGTTCAGGATCTGGGTTCAGGGGTTCAGGGGTTTAGGGCTTTGGGGGATTAGGATTCAGGGTGTAGGGTTTAGGGTTCAGGGGGTACCTTCAGGAGGTTTCGGACCGTCTACTGTGCGGTCTAGGTGTCCGCAAACCTCGAATCTACCCCCCCAAACCCCAAAGTTTACCCTAAAGCCTCAACCCCAATCTCTAAGACCCAAACCCTAAACCTTATAAACCCTGAACCCCCATCCCTGAGACTCAAACCCTAAACCCTGAACCTCGAACCCTAAACTCCAAACCCTAAACCCTGAACCCCTAATCTCTAAGACCCAAACCCTAAACTCCAAACCTCCCTAAACCCTAAACCGTGAACCCCCATCCCTAGGCCCCAAGCCCCCAACTAAACCCTGCACCCCCAATCCCTAAGACCCAAGCCCTAAACCCTGAACCTGAAACCCTAAACTCCAAACCCTACACCAGGTTTCTGGAAGCTCTCCGAAGATTGGGCATTGCACCGAGGCTTAGGGTTGCAGGGTTTAAGATTTAGGGGGTTTTAGGGTTTAGGGTTTGGGGCTTAGGGTTGCTGGGTTTAGGATTTGGGGGTTTGGGGTCCAAGTACCTAATAATCATAGACTCTTCTGAATACTAACCTACAAAACTACTATCCGTAAACCAAGTATATGATTATTAGATCCTTTGGACCCTTAGGGAAAAGGCTTAGGGTTGCAGGGTTTAGGGCTTAGGGAGTTTGGGCTTCATGAACCTCCTGGCTGTGGGGAAAAGTTCTGGAGGGAACTGGGTCCAAGCTGTTTGAGAGAGTGTGAGTGCAACTTCTGTTGAGGGTTTAGGGTTTAGGGGTTTAGGGGTTTAGGGTTTAGGGTTTAGGGTTGTTGATTGCCAGTGTAGCTAACTATGGAAAGCTGCCATGGATGAGCTGATTCATGTAATTAGAGACCTTGGTACGTACTTGCCGGATCCGAAGACGGCCCTAAACCCTGAAGTCCTGAAAACCCAAACCCTAAACTCCTAAACTCGACTCGGATACTGAGCAGTGGCTTTGAATACAGGATACGATACCTCAAGAATCAAGACCTGGACCCTGCATCTACCCTCTATTAGACCCCAAATCCCCATTGTTTGGGACTACCTGTAGTCTCCATCGTAGTTCCTTTTTTGGTTTAGCCAATTCTATATTCAGGATCCTAAAGGGGAAACCACCAAAAAAGAAACTACAATGGAGACTATAGGAGAATCCTGGAAACCCGATTTCTGTGCGTAAGATGTAGGATACAGAGAGCGCCGGCACCTTCCTTTGGAAGGCACAGCAGAAAGTTCTCTTCTTTGAAGACTGGGTAGCTTTCATAAATTCGGGCCTCTTTTATCTTTTAGGGTCGATGTCATAACGGTGCCGCCTTCTTTAGGGGTCCTAAAAGGGACCCTAATTTAGAGAACCACCCAGATGATGATCCCCTTGACATTCTGCCAAAGGCATCAACAGAAATGAGCAGGCTGCAGACATGTCTGTTTGTCCTTGGGGTTCATGGGTGGTTATATAAATGTCCCCTAATTTGGCTTGGAGTTGTAGCTACCCCACTTATAAACCACACGTATAACTGTATAACTACCCATGAACCTCCAAGTGCGATACACTGCCCAAGCCTGCCTTAGCAGTGCGTGGATCAAAAACCCTAAACCCTAAACCCGAAACCCTACAAACCCTAAAACCTAAACCCCTAAACCTAAACCCTAAACCCTCAACCCTAAACCCCTAAACCCTAAACCCTAAACCGTGAATCAACCTGCAGTCAGTACCTCCAAAAGACCTGCGGCTTCGTCCATGCCCTCGAGTCTTGCCACGTCGACGGCCGTTCTGCCGTCACTATCCTTAGGCTTTAGGCTTTAGGCTTTAGGCTTTAGGCTTTAGGGTTTAGGGTTTAGGGACGAAATGAACCCCAAAAGTGTTTAGGGTTTAGGGTTGATAAATAGGGTTTATAGGTACTTCTTAGGGTCATTTTGGTCCCCAAGGATCCAGTGCTCCGGCATCAGCCTTCAGCTCGAGCAAGGCCGCAATAACATGCACATAGCCATACTCAGCTGCCTGGTTCAAAGGGCTCCTAAAGTTGGGGCGAAGGTACGGGCCTTCAAACACATAAGAGTCCTTATCTACGGGCTTCGTCTTCCTACCCCACCTTCATCCCACCCTGAGCCCTAAACACTGAACCGTAAACCCTAAACCCCAAACACCCTGCCTTGTGCAGTGGAGTCATTTGCTTCTCGTCTTGCACCATCGGATCTGCACGACTCCTGACCAAGAGCCTCACCTGGGCTCTTGTTTACGGTTTAGGGCTTTGGGTTGTTGGGGTTTAGGGTTTTGTAGGCTTTCTTATGTTTAACTATGAATTGCCGTAATAGGAAAAGCATATTATGTACTATGGATCCCTCCCATGGTACCTTAAACTAAGCTCCAAAACCCGGAAACCCCTAATTATTTATCGTAGATCCCTACTCTAACTACATAATTAAGTGAATAAAAACCAGTCACAGTCTGCTCGCGCCCCCATTGCGCTGCATAGTGCAGCGCCGTGGCTTTGTCTTCGCCGTTAGTTTCCTTGGTTGCTGAGTTAAAAAAAGCCAAAATAAGTTGACATGTCAGGCTTCAGGGAATGACATATTTACAGTATCCCAGCTGCTTTGAAGTCTGAGTCTACTGATTGAGCTACTAAGTTTCATGTGGGTCTGCTCGAAGAGACAGCAGCATCTGCACACAGCCGTTGTGCCCGCCACCACTCGCCACCCCCAGGACGCTGTCATCAACCGCAGTCTTTATCCAGGGGTTTGCTCTAAAACGAAGCAGGAGCCGGCCGACACCTTCCTGGGCTTGGAAGCATATAAACTTGTGTTTTAATGGTTCCTCTGGAACAGGCCGCCGCAAAAAGTATTAAAGTATGGTACTCCGAAGTCCAGCTTCATTTCCAGTCGCCATGGAACAGAAGAAAGCGGTTTTTCCGCCATTGCAGGTACGGTCTGGCAAGGCCCGGTGGGAAAGAAGGAGATCCACACAGCCCAGTTGGCCGCAGAAGCTTGCAGAATGGAGCGCAATGGGAAAGGGGCCGCCGCCTTCACAGATCTGATTGATGTCGTCTGCATGTGGGAGGAGGGTCTGCAATACTTCGACATGTCCATTCATGCTGGCAGCAGTCAGCATGGTGCTGTGAACCTTTTGGTTGCGGCTTAAGAATATCTGGCAGCACTCCAAGCTACCACTGAATGCTGCCAGGTGAAGTCCGTTCGGTACGGCTTTGTCTCCCCATTTGTTCTCGCATTGCCAGAGATCCACGTCGTACGACAGGTCCGCGCCCCTCGCTAGCAAGTGAGAGAGGGCCTCGTGATGACCTGTTTTCTTGTAGGGGCTCAGGGTCTATGCTGTATGGCGTCGGGCTATTGTGACAAGCATTTCGATTTTTAGCGATTATCATGATTGCCAGTCTTGTTTCTTTGTTCATTATCAGTGTGACGGGTATGTTTATCACCGATATATTGTTGTCGTATTGGTTTCAGAACTGTTCTTACTGTGCTACCATTATCGTGACCACGACTATGTCAATTTCCATTGACGGGGGATGCCTGTGGCAACAGAGAGCATCCAGGGCGTGAGGCCATTCTGATCACGAGCATTGACATCCATCGCTGCGGCGATGAGGAGATCAAGAACGTAGAGGTGCCGGTTGTATGCCTGAGTACGCCAGATTTAGACTACTCCTATAAACCCAAAACCCCAAAACCCTAAAACCCCTAAACCCCTAAGCCCCTAAACCCTAAACCCCTATAAACCCTAAACCCCCAACCCTAAACCAGAAACCCACAAACCCCTATAAACCCTAAACGGTATAATGGTTAAGGCCTCTATATCAAAAGGGCCTAGCTGCTGCGGCCATGTGGAGGGGCCCTTGGCCCAAAGAGTTGCAACTCTTTAGGTCCTCTTCCTTGATCGGTTTAGGGTTTAGGGTTTAGGAGTTAGGGTTTAGGGTATTAGAGGTTAGGGGTTTGGGTTTACTTAGGGTATTTGGGTTTAGGGTTTAGGAGTTAAGGCTTGGAGTTTAGGGTTTAATTAGGGTATTAGGGTGTAGCGGTTAGGGTTTAGGGTTTAATGAGGGTATTAGAGTTTAAGGTTTACGAGTTTGGGCTTAGGGTTTAGGGAATTAGGGTTTAGGAGTTAGGGTTGAGGGTTTAGGTCCCTTTTCCTTGCTCTACAGGGCTCCTTTAAGCGTCAAGGGCTCTTGAGGGCCTCTTTAGGGGCTACTGTAAGGGTAGGGTTTAGGGTTCAGGTGCCATTTGTGTTGCTTCAGGCTCGAGCTTTTGGATTTTAGGAGTTTCTTGCTTTAGGGTTTAGCTTCGGGTTTAGGGTTACTTGCCTAGTATCTGACAAGGGGACCATGAGTGTCTGTTAAGCTTTAAGAACGAATTTTCCCTAAACCCTAAACCCTAACCGTATGTCATAGAAAGTCCATTCAGGCTATATAGGGCTTCTATAAGGCTTCTATAAGGTATAAAGACCTTCTATAAGGCTCCTATAACGGCAACTACCCACCCTACCCCCCGAGGCTCGCCCCCAGAACTCCAAGACCCAGTTCTAAGCTGACTTTTCAAGACTCTTCACAGGAAGCCACCCTAAACCCTCATCAGAACAGCTTAAAGGTCACTGAAACCAAAACCCCTGACCCTAAACCCTACAACTTCAGAGCCCGACACCCTTCTAACTCAGAACCTTTACTTAAACCCTAAATCCTAAACACTAACCCCTAAACCCGACAACTCTTTCCCCTATTCAGCTACGATGCCGAAGCAGCTGCCAGAGCTAGTCGCACCTCACTGGGATCCTTCCTTTGGGCTTTGCCTTGGTTCTGTAGGCTTGTAGGCTCATGCTGCTAGGTTTAGGGTTTAGGGTTTAGGATTTAGGATTTAGGGTTTAGGGTTTAGTTTAGATCTTGAGCTTAGGGCTTCTTACTTATCGTCGGGTTTAGGACAGTAGGGCATATAGGGTATGGGGCTTGCGGCGTTTACTGTTTTTAAGGGAGGGATGGCATTGGACTAAGAGGTTCCATATTTCTAAGGCTTAGGCGATGTGTGGCTTTAGGTTTCGGGTGTTTAGGGTTTAGGGTTTGGATGCTTGTTCCTTTGGGCTACACCTAGGTCCCTCTTAGGAAAGAACACAGGATCCGTAGTATTTCAGGGGCCTTCTTTCACTAGATGAAGCCCAAAGCGCAGAACCCTAAACCCTAAACAATTAAACCCCTAAACCCTAAACCGACTAAACCCGAAACCGACTAAACCCTGGGTAAACCCTAAACCC